TATATATATATATAGAAAGTTTACTGATTTATGACGATTTATTCATTACAAAGCTGTCAAGTGAAAATCTTGTTCCTTTTTTTACCATTCTGATATAAGACTTTTGAACATTCGTAGTGATATTTAGTGGTCTTTCCCATTGAAAAAACAAATTGCAACCGGTCATTAGCGATCAAACTGTAAGAGGAAGACTTTCATATGTATTGTCTTCTGCTTTTTTTCTTCATCAACACTTCTTATATGTCACAATCACTACTGACAAAATTAAGTCAGGTGAATCAAAACAGTGAACGAATAGAAGAGAAAGAAATTCACAAAACCTTTTTTTATCGCTAATTAAAAATTAAGCTGACCAAAAGCCAAAAGAGGAAAAACGGTTTAACAAATGTGGAAATAATGATAGTAATGAATAATTGTTGTTATTATGACGATAATTAAGTGTTACCAACAAAAAAGCCAATCAAAAGTCACTCTAATTGCATGTTTGATGCAGTTACCTGATCTATTCGGCTATTTAACTAGCTGGCTGACTAGTCAACTAACCAGCTGTATGTGCATCTAATTGTCTAAATACATGTTGCAAAAAAAAAAATAGAAAAAAAATTTTCAAAAATTTATCTTTTTTATTTGAATTCTGTAATAACAGCGTCTTTTCCACCAGCTGTTCATCAGTTCATATTCTAGGTTAACAGTTTTGCATCTAATCAGTAATAATTTCAAAAAAAGTTGTAACTAAATAAGCACTTTTAACTTATTTACTCAGCTTTTTTCTTTTTTCAAAATCTGTGTTTTTTCAGTAGCATAAGTATTGGAGGAAAATTATTTATGTGCTATAATAATAGATTTGTTGCTAAGCAAGTTTTTCCATTTAATTTTTTCCAAGTTTTTTCTTCAAACATTATATTTTTTTATAAGCGATTGAAAAAGGGGAAGAAGAAAAAGGTAACCAGGTAGAAGAAAGTGATTAAAAAAAGAATAAAATATCAGGAAAAGATTGGGTGAAGGAGAAGTAGATGAAGGAGGAAGGTTGAAAGGGAAGTTGGCGTAAATTGATGCGGCACGAAAAAATGTTTGTGGTATACTTTTTTTCCTTCTGTGGTTTTATTTGCTTATCTTTATTTAGACTAATATCAAATGATACGTAATTAGGCTTCTAGTTGAAATTTTTTTGTCTGAAAAGCACGAAAGTATTATGCGTGTTGTACAACTAAAAGTGCGACACCAGCAACAGTTATAGCTGAAGTCAGTTAACCACCAGCAAATATTGCTGAATTAGATAAAGTTTTCTGATAAAAAAAAAGAACAAAAAAAACTTTCAATTTTTTTGGGAAAAAGAAAAAAAAGGAAGATTTTTGGTTTAAGAAGTTGTTTTCTTTTTTTTCAATGCTCTTCTTTAGTTAATCGATCTTTAATAATCGTTGATGTGAATCATTGCTGTTGTGCTTATCGTATCGTTTAATCTTTAAGTGCTAAGTACTGATGTTTGTTGTTCGATGTTTATTATGGCGATTATTCTACGGCTATGAAACGATTTGAATAAAGAAGGTAGAAAAAAAAAGAAGAAATACAGAAATCTGGTAAGCAAATAAATATAAAATAAAAGTTTTATTGTTTTATTTTCCTTTCTCAATTTGATATTTAAGTATGGTTGTGTTTCAATTCAACAACAAAAATAGTAATTTGAAATAGTGTAATAAATGTTTTTTTTTGGTAAATATATTCAACTTAATAGTTGCTTGTTGAGTTTTTTTTTTTGTTTTAGCCATTATAAAATGATCGTTCCATTGATACGGCTAAACATTTTTTTGTCAGGCGGAATTGGTATCACAGCAAATTTTATTGTACTGATAATTTGTTTTGCAACAAAACCAGATATTTGCAAAGAATCCAGATTTATTATTATTTTTCAAACACTTCATGCTTTATTTACAATTTGTGTTAATATTGCAGCACAACTGGTAAGTATTATGCATTTGAAGTCTTAGAAAAAAAAATGATAATTTTTTTTCTTTATTAATCTCTACTTAATTTGTTTCTTCTTTTTTTTAAACCTTTATTAAACGACAAGTAAAAAATGAATGTTGGCCAAAAAAGGGTCTTTTTTTTATAGCACTATAATGAAACAAAAAAAAGAAAAAACAATTTTTTCCTGTAAAAATCTATTGATTTTAATACCGAATTTTTTTTTTAAAATTCTAAACAGTATGCCTAAGTGCTTGTCACTGATTTTGATGATTAAAAAGCGAGATTAGCAGCAAACAGTCAAAAAATAATAATTAAAACAAACCGCTTTCTGGGTTTAGCTGCTCTTTACTGTTGACAACAACGAATATTTCTTGTTATATTTGGAATTTTGTTAAACTATTATTAGCAAAACTGTCATATCGTCATTAATACTTTTATTTTACAGACATACTGTGTTGAAAAGGGTAATGTTACAATCGCTGCTGTTGGATGGTTGGTAAAACTGTTACCAACACAGGTGATTGTCTGGTTTTTGTATATGTTTCATTTTCTGTTGGCTGTTGGCGTTCTAACATTTCATATTGGTTTTGGATTTCAGTTCTGTCGAATTTGCAGGTATAGTTTTGGTCAATCAACAAAAAAAGAAACGGCATTAAATTTTTGAATTTCTTGAGTAACCAACCTTTTCTTTCTTTTCTTGTTTTGGTTACCTTATATTAGTTTCGTTTTATGACTTCCTATCAATTCTAACAAACGATACATGGATGACTAAAAAAAATTTTTTGTTCCTCTTTTCTTAGAAAACGACTTTTGGGTATACGTTATGAAGAACAGAATATTCCACGATTGTATGTATTTTGGTCAATGATTGCTTTAATAATAGAAGGTATAAATGCTCCTACAATGCAGGTGATACATACACCCAGTTCACCATGTTTTTATCACGCTCATGAGGCATTTCAGTTGAGGCGTCAAAAGAAGGTATTCCCTCACTGTAAAAATATTTGCAAAATGAAATCTGTTTGTATTTCTGTTTTAAAAAACTATGCTATTAAAATGAAGAAAATTTTTTTAGGATCAGTGGCGCGTAATTTTTTTCGTTTTCTCGCTTATTATCGGTGCATTCATTTCGTTGATTATTATTGCATTTACATCTGTACGAATTTTGCGTAATTTAAATTTTCAAAATTTTCGGCAACGTACCAGACGTCTTCAAAAGAAATTTACTCGAATGATGTTATTACAGGTAATCAATGTTAATTAATTGTTTGTCTGATGAAAAAATGTCAAAACAAATAAGGATTAAAGCAGTAAAGCAAATGTCTTAATCAAGTTGGACATAGCCATAAAGCTTAATAACTCGCTCTGTTAACGATTCTCTTCAACTGAGATTTGGAAAACAACAAAAAAGAACTGTTCTTCTATAAAAAAACTGTTCTTTTTTTCATTAGAAAATCATGTTCTAGGCAGTTTTGCCGATGATTGCTGTTATTTTACCATTTTTGGTTTATGCTTGGACGCTTGTGGTACCTTTAGAAATTGGTAACTACGGTTCACTGGTATTTGCGTTCTTCTACTGGCAACCCTGCATACATTCTTTAATCACATTATCCTTCTTAGAGCCATTTTACAAGCGATTAAGTATCACTGATCTAATGACTAGTCTAAAACTCTCTCGAAAAGTGTAATGACGACAGTATCGTTAGACTGAATGCTACTGCCACTGTTGATGCTGTAGTGGATTACGTGCTAAAAGTAGGTAAAATGTTGCCACCAAATAATCTGCTGTGTAAAATTCCTAGTGAATAGCAAGCAGTAAATTATTTTAACTGTGATTGATTGTTTTCAGTGCGTATGTTTGCTGGTGACATTGTCTTTTAGTTTATTGTTTCGTATTTCTTGTTTTTTCAGCCTTGATAAACGTCTTTGATACCTGGTAAATAAGTTTATATAATGAAAAAATTACGATAATTGTAGCCATAATTGCTGATAAGCCGTTTGACCGGTTCTCCCCAGTTGATTTTGAACCGAATAATCAACATATATTAAGACTATTTTGCGCACTCTAATTTTAATGCTGTTGCGCTAACTAGAAAGTGTAAAAGTCAAGTTGAGAAAGACAATTTGCCTATGATAAACCACCAAAGGAATAGAATATAGATGTTCAAGATACAGGTTAGGCAATCAATAATCCAG